TGGGATCTTGATGATGATGAGTGTGGGATCTTGATGATGATGAGTGTGGGATCTTGATGATGATGGGTATGGGATCTTGATGATGATGAGTGTAAGAGCTTGATTATGGTGAGTGTGAGATATTGATGGTGATGAGTGTGGGATCTTGATGATGATGATGATGAGTATGGGATCTTAATGATGAGTGTGGGAGCTTGATGATGATGATGAATATGGGATTTTGATAATGATGGGTCTGGGAGCTTGATGATGATGAGTGTGGGATCTTGATGATGAGTGTGGGATCTAGATGATGATGGGTGTGAGATCTTGATGATGAAGGGTGTGGGATATTGGTGATGATGAGTGTGGGATCTTGATGATGACTGTGGGATCTTGATGATGATGAGTGTGGGATCTTGATGAAGATGAGTGTGGGATCTTGATGATGATGAGTGTGGGATCTTGATGATGATGATGATGAGTGTGGGATCTTGATGATGATGATGAGTGTGGGATCTTAATGTTGATGATGATGAGTGTGGGATCTTAATGTTGATGATGATGAGTGTGGGATCTTGATGATGATGAGTGTGGGATCTTGATGATGATGACTGTGGGACCTTTATGGCGAGTAAGGGATGATGATGAGTGTGGAATAATGATGATAAGTGTGGGACCTTAATGGCGAGTAAGGGATGATGATGAGTGTGGGATGATGACGATGAGTGTGAGACAGTGGCTAGTCACTACATTATCAGCTCCTGGCGCGGCAATCAGTCAGGTGGGGCCCCAATATTTGATTAGTCTCGCACGGTCACACCTAGGATATTATGTTATGTATTGTAGCTCCTCTTGCTTAATCACATCCTTACGCAAGTTTTAGTTTTTTACACTGTTGTTGAAAACAAATCTCATGGTGGTTGTCGCATTGGCCACCGGGGGGGGGGGGGGGGGGGGGTGGGGGGGGCAAGGCACGCGGCTGTGTCCCCACGCTCGTTACGCTACTGTTGTGGTATGATGATGATGATGAGTCTGGGATCTTGATGATGAGTGTGGGATGATGAGTGTAGGATGATGATGATGAGTGTAGGATGATGATGATGATGAGTCTGGGATCTTGATGAGCGTGGGATGTTGGTGATGAGTGTAGGATGATGATGATGATGCTGGAATCTTGATGATGAGTGTAGGATGATGATGATGAGTGTTGGATGATGATGATTAGTGTAGGATGATGATGATGAGTCTTGGAGCTTGACGATGATGAGTGTGGGAACTTCATGATGATGAGTATGGGATTTTGATGATGATGAGTGTGGGATCTTGATGATGATCAGTATGGGATCTTGATGATGAGTGTGGGATCTTGATGATGAGTGTGGGATGCTGGTGATGAGTATGGGATCTTGACGAGTGTAGGATGCTGATGACGAATGTGGGATGATGACGATGATGATGAGTGTGCGATCTTGATGATGAGTGTGGGATGCTGGTGATGAGTATGGGATCTTGACGAGTGTAGGATGCTGATGACGAATGTGGGATGATGACGATGATGATGAGTCTGGGATCTTGATGATGAGTGTTGGATGCTGGTGATGAGTATGGGATATTGACGAGTGTAGGATGCTGATGACGAATGTGGGATGATGACGATGATGATGAGTCTGGGATCTTGATTATGAGTGTGGGATGCTGGTGATGAGTATGGGATCTTGACGAGTGTAGGATGCTGATGACGAATGTGGGATGATGACGATGATGATGAGTCTGGTATCTTGATGATGAGTGTGGGATGTTGGTGATGAGTATGGGATCTTGACGAGTGTAGGATGCTGATGACGAATGTGGGATGATGACGATGATGATGAGTCTGGGATCTTGATGATGAGTGTGGGATGCTGGTGATGAGTATGGGATCTTGACGAGTGTAGGATGCTGATGACGAATGTGGGATGATGACGATGATGATGAGTCTGGGATCTTGATGATGAGTGTGGGATGCTGGTGATGAGTATGGGATCTTGACGAGTGTAGAAATGCTGATGACGAATGTGGGATGATGACGATGATGATGAGCCTGGGATCTTGATGATGAGTGTGGGATGCTGGTGATGAGTATGGGATCTTGACGAGTGTAGGATGCTGATGACGAATGTGGGATGATGACGATGATGATGAGTCTGGGATCTTGATGATGAGTGTGGGATGTTGGTGATGAGTATGGGATCTTGACGAGTGTAGGATGCTGATGACGAATGTGGGATGATGACGATGATGATGAGTCTGGGATCTTGATGATGAGTGTGGGATGCTGGTGATGAGTATGGGATCTTGACGAGTGTAGGATACTGATGACGAATGTGGGATGATGACGATGATGATGAGTCTGGGATCTTGATGATGAGTGTTGGATGCTGGTGATGAGTATGGGATATTGACGAGTGTAGGATGCTGATGACGAATGTGGGATGATGACGATGATGATGAGTGTGGGATCTTGATGATGAGTGTGGGATGCTGGTGATGAGTATGGGATCTTGACGAGTGTAGGATGCTGATGACGAATGTGGGATGATGACGATGATGATGAGTCTGGGATCTTGATGATGAGTGTGGGATGTTGGTGATGAGTATGGGATCTTGACGAGTGTAGGATGCTGATGACGAATGTGGGATGATGACGATGATGATGAGTCTGGGATCTTGATGATGAGTGTGGGATGCTGGTGATGAGTATGGGATCTTGACGAGTGTAGGATGCTGATGACGAATGTGGGATGATGACGATGATGATGAGTCTGGGATCTTGATGAAGAGTGTGGAATGCTGGTGATGAGTATGGGATCTTGACGAGTGTAGAAATGCTGATGACGAATGTGGGATGATGACGATGATGATGAGCCTGGGATCTTGATGATGAGTGTGGGATGCTGGTGATGAGTATGGGATCTTGACGAGTGTAGGATGCTGATGACGAATGTGGGATGATGATGATGAGTCTGGGATCTTGATGATGAGTTTGGGATGTTGGTGATGAGTATGGGATCTTGACGAGTGTAGGATGCTGATGACGAATGTGGGATGATGACGATGATGATGAGTCTGGGATCTTGATTATGAGTGTGGGATGCTGGTGATGAGTATGGGATCTTGACGAGTGTAGGATGCTGATGACGAATGTGGGATGATGACGATGATGATGAGTCTGGGATCTTGATGATGAGTGTGGGATGCTGGTGATGAGTATGGGATCTTGACGAGTGTAGAAATGCTGATGACGAATGTGGGATGATGACGATGATGATGAGTCTGGGATCTTGATGATGAGTGTGGGATGCTGGTGATGAGTATGGGATCTTGACGAGTGTAGGATGCTGATGACGAATGTGGGATGATGACGATGATGATGAGTGTGGGATCTTGATGATGAGTGTGGGATGCTGGTGATGAGTATGGGATCTTGACGAGTGTAGGATGCTGATGACGAATGTGGGATGATGACGATGATGATGAGTGTGGGATCTTGATAATGAGTGTGGGATGCTGGTGATGAGTGTGGGATCTTGATGATGAGTCTGGGATCTTGATGATGAGTCTGGGATCTTGATGATGAGTGTGGGATGGTACAGTCGGCGAGCGTGACGATGGGTGCTGTCGACCAGACACCCGAGCGTGAGGCTAGATTAACAATTCCGAATGAAGACGCAGAATTTATATTATTGAACAAATGATGTTGGTGCTGATGATACTGCTACGTTGGCAGCAGTGCACAAGCACAATTAGCAACAACAATATATTTCAATTGTGCTATGAAGTCGGGCCTTTGTCCGAAACGTCTGAAACGTGAATGCCACATCCGTTAGTTTTTTTGGCAAAGTGTTATCGGTGATGGCTACGCTGCTACACTTGACCGCCTGTAACATACTCGCGGTGAACATGCAACACAAAAACACACTCTGGTAATATAAGCACATCTTATCACAGCTGTTTTGTTGCCAGAAAGGGTAAAACCCAACTCAATTCTAGATTAAATCCCAACTCTTATATTTTGTTACTGGCAAGAGAGGTCCCATTATGATACGGACTTTGTTGGTAAAGTAACTGCAGCAAGGCAGCGGTTTGGAGGTGGTACCAGCAATTTCCGATCGTGGTGGTGGTGGCGGTGTTGGTGGTGGTGGTGGCGGTGGTGGCGGTGGTGTTGGTGGTGGTGGCAGTGGTGGTGACGGTGATGGCCGTGATGTTGGTGGTGATGGCGGTGGTGTTGGTGGTGGCGGTGGTGGTGGGAGTGTGTTTTTTCTGCTGAGCATTCACTGCATGAGTCACTGAGTCGCTACAGCTGGCCGAGGCGGTGCCGGTTTGTGTTTTACATTGGTGCCTTAGCGTGGATGGAATATACATTACATGCTTGTGTGCGTGTGTGCGTGTGTGTAGCTCTGTAGTGTAGTGGTTAATCCGGCGACCCGAGTTCAATTCCCGCTCACGGCCAACACCAGTGATGAGTGTAAACATCGCCACTAGGGAGACAAAGGCGGCCGGGCGTGGTTGCTGGCCACCCACCTCCTCGATTACCGTGCCGGCCTTCATAGGCGCTCGCTAACAGCACTTGCCCCAACAGTCTATTTAGGCTATACGGGGGCGTTCTTGTATTTGTACGTCTGTTGAGGCAGCAGTGAGCGTTGGCGGATCAGCACACAGATGGGTTGTGAAACTCCCTTCCACCGTGGGCATTAAAGAGGAGCCGTACTCTGGTTCGCCAGTACAAGGCAGCACAGCAAGTGGACTAATCGCCGTCTGTGCAGGGGTTTTCTACGGGTGCTCCAGGTTTCCACGTGAATCTGCTGGAAAAAAAACAAACTTTAAAATATAAATGCAATGTAGCAGCAGCAGCAGGATACTCCGAATTCCGATTCTCATCACCGTCATTGCCTCAATCGGGCCGAGTTGTCGTTTGGCAAGGGCACCGCCGCTGGGAGGATTTCCTCTGAGCCGTGTGCCTCTCTGGGTTGTTTCCGCAGGAGCTGGAGGAGGACTGCGCCCTGCACGGCTGCCCGGCCCCGTTCGAGGTGGGAGTCGGGACATGATGGCGCTTCTCTCACCTATGCGCCAATAGATTAACTCTGTCTGTCCGTCATCCGTCCGTCCATCTATTTGTCTCCATCCGTCTGTTCATCCATCTGTCCATCCATCTGTTAATCCGTCTATCCATCCGTGCATCCATCCGTTTCTCCATCCATCTATCCATCTGTGCATCCATCTATCCGTCCATCCATCTGTCAATCTGTCTGCCAGTCTGTCCATCTATCCATCTGTCCATCTGTGCATCCCATCTATCTGTCCATCCATCTGTCAATCTATCTGTCAATCTGTCTGTCAGTCTGTCCATCTATCCATCTGTCCATCTGTGCATCCATCTATCTCTCTGTCCATCCATCTGTCAATCTGTCTGTCAGTCTATCCATCTATCCATCTGTCCATCCATCTATCCGTCCATCTATATGTCCATCTGTCTGTCAATCTATCCACCCATCCGGCTGTCCATCTGTTTGTCCATCCGTGACGTGAGGCCACGATAGCTCTCATAAAGACGATGCGATGGGATCAACATCATCATGCACTCCATCATCATCATCATCATCCACGCCATGCTATTCGTTACTTACCCTTGAGGAGTCTGGTCACATTGCCCAAAGGGCTGAGTAAAGATTTGATGATGACGGAGCAGCGTTGCGGTCATTATGAGCACAGCGAGCTTCGCTTCGACAGTCACGGCTAACATCGGTGGCGAGTCCTGGCGTCCAGCGTGGAAGAGGAGACCAAAAATACCACCACGGAGCTCACCCTCCATTGGAAGAGCCGTTTGGTCCTCGGCGCCGTCGGTGTGAAGGGAGGGGCGGGTGGTGTTTGGCTGAACGCCGGTGCCTCGTGTCCCCTCGGTGTGTGCAGGATGCCAGCGACGCCGTGAGCGGGTACTCCACGCCGGAGGTCGCGAGGAGGTACGTGCTCCTTGCTGTCCATAATAGAAGGTTGTTTGTGCGTGCGTGCTAGATCGCGTGAATATTAACGTGTCGTTCAGCCCGCCACCACCGCCTGATACAGCCAATTAGTAAGGTTTTGTCATGTAAGCCTCCCGGAAGCGATGATTCGGGCATCGGCGTGTGTGTGTGGCTTTCCTGGGTGAAAAATATCCGCGCGGTGTTACATTACGCCTCCCAGACTGCCGTGCCAGGAGATGCAGTCGAACCAGGCGATATTTGGATTGCAAGTCCGGTGCGCTTGCTACTTGCTGCTCACCTATTTGAAAAAAGAACCGTGAAACTATTTAGTATTTTAGCAGGAATGGCCCACTGAGCTTGCACAGCTTTTCTTGAGAAGCAACCTGGCCACAAATGATAGCTCAGCGAAGTGGCCTGTCGTCATCATCATCATCACGTGGAAATGTTACAGCAGCCAAATGCTCCAAACGCAATGTGGATTCTAAATGTGGATGGGGAAAAAAAACGAAAGGATCCGAAGGAAAAAATCCAAACGACCACAGGGAAGCCTTGTATACCAGGCGAGGTAGTTAACATCTCCTAGACACCGTGATGATGATGAGAGAGAGACATGTAAAGTCCAAACGTACAGCGGACATCAGGGTTGGGATCGAACTCACGACCTCCCGCATACCGGGCGAGGTAGTTAATATCTCGACACCATTGGCGCCCACTCAGAAAGTAAATGTTTATTTTTTTTTTTCACGGCGCGCAGAGTGTGTGTGTGCGCGTGCTTCCACAATGCAGCGTGACAGTGCATCGTCATAATCATCATCGTCGCAATCGTCGTCATCGTAATGACATTTCCCAGCCCCATTTTACAAGAGAAATTAAAAACTTGCATCGAGTTGTGGTAATTACTGCCGCTGATTACAACGGTGAGTAATTACCCCTGAAACAAATTAACGCTAATAAGGAGAAATAAATTAAGGCGCGTTTGTGGCAAATAAACGCTAACAAAAACGGCAATATGGGGAGTGCTTTGCAACATCTAATAATTGCTATTTAGGGAATAGGGACGGTGTTCAATGTGTCATCCAGTTAAAAAAAAAAACCCTTCACATTTGGCCACGAGTCCGAACGGCATCTTCAAATTAAAAGGGGCAACATTTCTGAGTTCAAATAGACGATAATTTTTTATTGTAACATTGTGAGAGGGGAGTGGCAGGAGAGGGAGATGAGAGGGGAGTGGAGTGAGATGTAGTGCCCGCGCCAGATCCATTGAGGATCTTGAAGCTGAATTTTAAACAGCAGGAGATGTTGATATGCCTGGTTGTTGTTGTTGTTGGTGGTGGTGGTTGTGGCGGGATGATGAGACACCGTCGCACGCTGCCTGGCATTTTAAGCGGGCGCCCAATTTGGCGGAACGTGCAATTACCGGCCATTAAGTGCCGGAGGAAAGTGCTGACATCAAGTGGATTGGATCACGACGCGTTGTGGTGGGTGGTTGGGGGGGGTGGTGGTGGTGGTGGGGGTGGGTGGTTGGGGGGTGGGTGGTGGTGGTGGGTGGTGGGGTCGCGTGCGTCTGCGGAACCGTTCACCCCCAAACGCCACCGCCGCCACCACTTCGTGTCACCGGCAATTGGGGGGCTTTGGAAGAGTCGGGACACCTGGCCCCCCCACCTCCACCCCCCCCCCGTGTATTGCATTAGCAGCAGCAGCAGCAGCTCCACTTGGACTGGTGAGCTGAAGGTCGCCGGTTTGATTGCACCTCCCGGCGTGGAAGTTGAAATAACGGAGCGAGCTTCTTGAATTTTGTACCGACGTCCACCCACTCCCCCCTCCCTCCAGTCCCCATGTTAAGCTGTGGTAGATTGTGAATGTTTGGCTATGGTAGGGTGTGAATGTTCGGATATGGCACACTGTGAACGTTGACATGCCCACGCGCGTCTGTCTTGCAGGAGTTCTTTACTGAACGCCAACGTGGAAGACGGTCTCACTGGTGAGCGTGAATTACGGGCGCATCATCATCATCACCGCCGCCATTATTACAGTCACGTCCGCCTTCCAAGTGCTGCTCGCTAGCAGCACTTACCTCGGCGGCCTGTCGGAGGTTATCCGAGGGTTGGTCGGCGGGGTGGGCTGTGTCTTTGTCTTTGTCCCCGCACGCCGGCGCTTCACGCTAACGGCGCATGCTTGCGCCCGGCCGTGTAATCGGAGATAATTGCGCCGGGGAGATGCGCGGAAAATTAAAGTTGCGGATCACGAACGCGGCGAGCGAACGAGTGAACGAACGGCGGCGGCGGCGGCGGCGACCCCATGAGTCGTGCAACCGCCGCGACGGAGTCCCGTTGCCAACCTCGACCGAGTACTGACGTTCGCCGTTCGCACGCCGTTGACGTCAGCCATGGCGGCGGATGGCACGCCATCGAGGCTCCGTCGTGGTTTTTTGACTTTTCGCGCGGTTCAACGCGGGACGAAAACAGAATAAAAACCCTGGCACCTGTAACTGGCGTCAGCGGCACGCTGAGCGCTGCGCCACCGCTCCCCGCCGGGCCGTAGCAGCTGGGGGAAGGGGGCGCGTAGCTACGCGAGCGCCGGCGTCACCGTGATTCTGGGATGGCAGTACGGTAAAGTGTGGTCTAACCTCCATCTGTTCCATCTCCCTTGCCGTTGGCTTCGAGGAAGGGCCCCGTACCCTGGCTCACTATGAGAAGGCAGTACGGTAAAGTGTGGTCTAACCTCCATCTGTTCCATCTCCGTTCCCGTTGGCTTCGAGGAAGGGCCCCGTACCCTGGCTCACTATGAGAAGGCAGTACGGTAAAGTGTGGTCTAACCTCCATCTGTTCCATCTCCGTTCCCGTTGGCTTCGAGGAAGAGCCCCGTACCCTGGCTCACTATGAGAAGGCAGTACGGTGAAGTGTGGTCTAACCTCCATCTTGTTTCTATCTGTACGGGGATCGAGTGTTTCGCCCTCCCTCGCCGAAACCCGTGGGCTTTCTCCGGGCCCTCCGGTTTCCTCCGCACGTGAATAACAAACACGACCCGTCGTGAGTCGGCTGCAAACATCTTACGACGAAAAAAATATCTCGTGAATAAAAAACCTCACGGATGACAAAACACACCCCCCCCCCCCCCCCCGCAAAGGTGGCATCAAGGCCATGCTGGAATAGGGGCCGCTCGTGAGAATCCGTTGGGACAGCCGCGTGACCTCTGCGGAGAAAAACAATTAATTCGATTTAATATTAAAATGTTAAGCGCCGTTAATTGCAATGCGGGGTTAATGATTTATAATTCAAATTTTAAACAGCTGGCCACTTTGGAACAATAAGACACAATTGCCATTGCGTGCGTAGTTTTTGTGTGTTTTGTTTTGTTCCACATCACGTGCCGCCTTCAGTCTCCGGCGAGACGGTTAGCGTCGTGGTGTGTGATGAGTGTGATGTGTGTGTGGTGTGATGTGTGTGTGGTGTGTGTGTGTGATGTATGATGAGTGTGTGTGTGTGATGTGTTTGTGATGTGTGGTGTGATGTGTGTGATGTATGATGAGTGTGTGTGGTGTGTGTGTGATGAGTGAGTGTGTGTGTGATGTCTGTGTGATGTGTGTGGTGTGTGGTGTGTGATGTGTGTGTGATGAGTGTGTTGTGTGTGATGTGTGTGTGATGTGTGTGTGGTGTGTGTGTGATGAGTGTGTGTGTGGTGTGTGTGATGAGTGTGTGTGTGTGTGATGAGTGTGTGTGTGGTGTGTGTGTGATGAGTGTGTGTGTGATGAGTGTGTGATGTGTGTGGTGTGTGATGTGTGTGATGAGTGTGTGTGGTGTGTGTGTGTGATGAGTGTGTAATGTGTGTGTGATCTGTGTGTGACGTGTGTGGTGTGTGATGTATGATGAGTGTGTGTGTGACGTGTGTGTGGTGTGTGTGATGAGTGTGGTGTGTGTGATGTGTGTGGTGTGTGATGTATGATGAGTGTGTGTGTGTGTGGTGTGTGTGATGAGTGTGGTGTGTGTGATATGTGTGGTGTGTGATGTGTGTGTGTGGTCTGTGATGTGTGTGTGGTGTGTGTGTGATGTGATGAGTGTGTGTGATGTGTGTGTGGTGTGTGTGTGTGATGAGTGTGTGTGATGTGTGATTGTGTGTGTGGTGTGATGTGTGTGGTGTGTGTGATGAGTGTGTGTGTGGTGTGTGTAATGAGTGTGTTTGTAGTGTGTGTGTAATTGTGTGTGTGGTGTGTGATGTGTGTGGTGTGTGTGAAGAGTGTGTGTGGTGTGTGAAGAATGTGTGTGTGGTGTGTGTGTGAAGAGTGTGTGTGTGGTGTGTGTGATGAGTGTGTGTGTGGTGTGTGTAATTGTGTGTGTGGTGTGTGATGTGTGTGTGTGTGTGCGGTGTGTGAGTGGGAGGAAATTGGTGCACTCTGAGAAAGCCCACGCATGCGAAGGAGCAGCGCTCTATCCCGTACAGGAGGGACAGACGAAATTAGCCGGCACTTGCCTGTTACCGCCTTCTCCTGGCGAGCTAGGGTACGGCTCCTCCTCGGCACCCATGGGACGGTTGTATCGCAGCATCCGTGTGCAATCCACCAACCCTCGCCGCTACTTTCGCCGCGCTAGGTTACGGCGTAGCCACCGCAGTGCGGATATGACGGCACATCCAGCAGTGGATTGACAAAGCGCCCTATGTCCCTGTTTTATTATTATGATTAATGTTTGCAAGTCATCTATATGATAAACAGCATTTACTCTTTCATTACGGCCAGCGTAGTTTCATTAGGAACTCATCTTCGCGTGAGTTTTGATTGAAATTATGGATTATTTACCCCGCCCCCCCCTGCACCGCCCTTCCTTTCCCCGTCCATGATGAGTAGACACGCTGCCTCGTGGACTCGCCGAATGTTTTGTGGGCCTCGGGCAGATGGCAGGATAATTAAACATCAAGGCCGACGGAGAATAAAAATTGTCATTCGGGCAGACGAGGGCCAGTCGCTGGAGCAGATGCTGCCGCCCGTCTCAACGCCGGCGCGCGTGCCGATGGGTGACGGCACGGCGCTAACGCTCGTGGTCTCGCGGCAGCAAAGCGGCCTGGGTTCGATTCCCCGACTCGGGCGGCTTTGCTCGCGCGGTGTCTTGTGTGTTTGTCTCGCTCCCTGTTCTGCAGAGTCGGTGAGTGAGTGTGTGCGAGTGAGTGGGCGAGAGGGTTAGTCGGTGAGTGGGTGGGCGGCTGAGTCAACGGGCGGCGAGTGGGTGGGTGAGCAGGTGTCGATGCACGTTGAAGCTTCTTTTGCACCCTACATAGCCAACCCTCCTAATCGGAGGTGCGGGGGATCGGTGAGCGGGTGGGTCGGTGAGGTGGGGGCGGCCCGTCTGCCGTGCTCCATCCTGTGCTCGAGGAGCCTGCGTCCGGGCCGCAGGCCTCCGGCCTCACGTAGGGCCTCACGTACGGCCTCACGTAGGGCCTCACGTAGGGCCCTCTCTTCCCCCCTCTCTCTCTCTCCCGCCCGCATTCCACCCCGTCCACTCCCGCAGGGAAGTTCGACGGCCGCCGCCGGAGCAAGACGTTCTGGCAGAGCCTGCGCAAGTCGCCCAAGGCCTCGGCGCCGAGAGCTGACGGCCACGGTAAAGGTACCTCCAGACCTCCACCCGCACCCTCCCCCCCGGCTCTCCCCCGCCTCTTCCCTCCGGCGCACGGCGGTTTGGTTTTAAAAGTCCGCGGTCGCGTGGCGGCGGTGGTGGTGGTGGTAGCCCCCTGGTGGTCGCGTGGGTAGCGAGGCTTCAGTGTCCCCCCCCACACCCCGCCACCTCCCCACCCTTTCCGAGCATGAACCTCCTGGAAAATAGTCTTGAGACCTGGAGAGGATTTTTGGGCCCGGCGGGGAGGGGGGGGGGTGTGCGGGGGTGTAGGCAGTGGTGGGGGGAGAGGGGGGTTGGTTTGTGGGGGGGTGTGCGGGAGGTGTAGGCAGTGGGGGGGGGGGAGGGGGGGTGTGCGGGGGGGGCCTGGTGGCACCCGGTGTCCGGCGCCGTGCCGGTACCTCGCCGCCAGATGCGGCCTCTTCCCCCGCGGCCACACTCAGGAGTTTGTGAAGCGCTCGCTGCGTTCCGCCCCTCCTCCTCCTCCCCCCTCCGTGATCCTCACCCAGTAGCATAACCAGCGTGGGGCAGGGGGTGCCTTGCCCCATCCTCCCCCCAACCGTGAGATATGTTTTCAGCAACAGGTGTCAAAGAACAACAACACCAATGTCACGATGCGATTAGGCAAGAGGAGCCATGATATTCAATATCCGAGGTGCGACCGTGCGAGACAAAATCGAATATCGGGACCCCCTCTGACCGATTGCCGCACCGCCTGAGCTGATAGCGTTGTTAGCTCCGCACTGTCCCCATCATCCCCACCAGCATCAGCATCATCACCCTACTCCTCCCTCTTCCCCTGCGCAGGAGGAGGAGGAGGAGCGGTGGCGGTGCGCTTCGTGGCGAGCGAGATCACGATGTGCGACGAGGACCGCATCCGCCTCATGAACATGGTGAAGGACCGGCAGATCACCATCGACGAGGCGCTCGCCAAGGTGAGGGGGACCACATGCACGTGCACGGCGTCTGGCACGGGGGGGAGGGCTCGGGGGGGGGGGGGGAGACTCCGCGTGCGCTCGCGCCACTAGCGACGCGCGAGAGCAACGCCGCTAACCGAATCCTCGGTGCCTTAGTCTGGCTCTGTGAGCCTCAGTGATGAAAACCGAACCGTAGGGCAGCCTTCGTCCGGCTCTGCGAGCCTCTTGACGTGACATCGAAGCCTCGGGGAGCCGGAGGGTCCGAGCCTCGGTGATTGACGGCAGCCCCGGCCTCCGAGCCGCGTCCACGGTTACGCTGGACACCGCGTGGGTTCCGCTCCTCGCTGCGGACTCGCTCGTTACCCAGCAGGCACTGAGTGCGTCCTCGCGGCCGGCGCTCGCTACGGGCCCGCGTGTGACCCTGCGTGCGGTGCGACCGCGACGGCGTTCAGTGGGCCGGTCGGGGCTCAACTGGGCGCCGTTGAGCCGCGCCAGGAGAGGGAGCCCTTGGCCACGTTTGCGGAGTGGAGGCGGCGAGCTCTCTCTCTCTCTGAAGTCTCTCTCTCCAACCTCTCTCTCCGAGCTCTCTCTGAACTCTCTCTCTCCAACCTCTCTCTGAAGTCTATCTCTCCAACCTCTCTCTCTCCAACCTCTCTCTCTCTCTCCAACCTCTCTCTCTCCAACCTCTCTCTCTCCAACCTCTCTCTCTCCAACCTCTCTCTCCGAACTCTCTCTCCAACCTCTCTCTCCGAGCTCTCTCTCTCCGAACTCTCTCTCTCTCCGAACTCTCTCTCTCCGAACTCTCTCTCTCTCCAACCTCTCTCTCTCCGAACTCTCTGAGCTCTCTCTCTCTCTCTCTGAACTCTCTGTCCGAGCTCTCTCTCTCTCTGAACTCGCTGTCCAAGCTCTCTCTCTGAACTCTGTCTCTCTCCGAGCTCTCTCTGAGCTCTCTCTCTCTCTGAACTCTCTGTCCGAGCTCTCTCTCTGAACTCTCTCTCTCCGAGCTCTCTCTGAGCTCTCTCTCTGAACTCTCACTCCGAGCTCTCTCTCTCTCTGAACTCTCTCTCCGAGCTCTCTCTGAGCTCTCTCTGTCCGAGCTCTCTCTCTGAACTCTCTCTCTCCGAGCTCTCTCTGAGCTCTCTCTGAACTCTCACTCCGAGCTCTCTCTCTCCGCTCTGAGCAAGTGCATTGCGAGCCTCTTCGCAGTCACTAACCATCGTAATCTGTGATCTGTCCACTGCTGGATTAATACCCCCCCTCACCCCCCCCCCGAAGCCCTAGCCGTCTGTCACGGGCCCACTGAGGTGGTTGAGCCAGATGATTGCGTCAGGAGTAGCAGAGTGGTGATCACAGCTGTGATGATGATGATGATTATGATTCCTTCGTGTTTGTGAATTGGAACATCCAGCCGTCGTCGTGCATTCCACGGTTCCTTTCTGGGTGGTGACCACAGTCACCGCACACTGACTAACCCCCCCCCCCCCCCCCCGAGAGTTTTGAATTTGCCATTTATACATAGCCAATCATGCTAATCGAAGGTGCGGGGGGAAGGACAACAAACTAATCACAAAAATAAGTTCTAAATAAATGAGCTTTCAATCTGGATGATTTAAAAGAGCGTAGCTCCGGTGGCTTCCTCATATCGGAAGGAAAAGCGTCCCAGGCGGCCGCAAAATCGCGCATCTCAAGCCGCGCGATGCGGGTTGACCCGTCCTTCGTGCGACGGCTAGGCCCAAAGCCACCGCTTGCAAGGGTCACCGGGGCTCCCTGACGGAGTTGCGCTCTGCTGCCGAGCGCACTGTCCGACGACCCCCTGGCGCGGGAGATCGACTCCTGGCATCGTCGCCACAACATCTGCCGCTAAGTCGCGAACAGCCGCGGCGAGAACCCTTTTAGCCCCTGGTTTTATGGCCCACCCCCACTCATGGCCCACCTCCACCCCCCTTGCCCCCGGGTGGTTTTAGCAATAAAGCTTTGATCAATTTGTCTGCTCTCCTGCAGGAGGGCAATTCCCTGACAGAGACGCGCTAAAGTTTTTTGTTCGTCACCCTCTTGTGACCCAGCGCTGCGGAGGCAGCAAGCAGCGGCGAGGGTTGGTGGATCGCCGTCCACAGCCGTGGGGAAACCCCTCTCCGTGGGCGTCGAGGGGGAGTCGAACCCTCGCTCTGCCAGGAGAAGGCTGTCCGGCAATGTGCGGGATAATCTCCGTCCGTCGCTTCTGTGCGGGATTGAGTTTTGCCCCTCCCCCCCCCCCCTTTGCGCGCGCGGGTTTTCTCCCGGTGATCCGGTCTTCTCTCGCGCGACAGCACTCGTTCAATTTGGGCGATAACACCTCGACATGTAGAGGACTGCAGAGATTTGGCAATTGTTAGCAATGGCCGTTTCCTCACCGCGTGGATGCTACAGCTACCTTTCCGCTTGTCTGTGGTTCCTCCTCCCGGCGCCTCTGAGTCGTCCTCCCTCTCCCTCTGTCTGAGTCGTCCTCTCTCTCTGTCTGAGTCGTCCTCTCTCTGAGTCGTCCTCTCTCTCTGAGTCGTCTTCTCTCTCTGAGTCGTCTTCTCTCTCTCTGAGTCGTCCTCCCTCTCTCTCTCTGAGTCGTCCTCTGTCTCTGAGTCGTCCTCTCTCTCTCTCCCTCTCTCTCTCTCTGAGTCGTCTTCTCTCTCTCCCTGAGTCGTCCTCTGTCTCTGAGTCGTCCTCTCTCTCTCCCTCTCTCTCTCTCTGAGTCGTCCTCTGTCTCGGAGTCGTCCTCTCTCTCTGAGTCGTCTTCTCTCTCTCCCTGAGTCGTCCTCTGTCTCTGAGTCGTCCTCTCTTTCTCTCTCCCTCTCTCTCTCTCTGAGTCGTCCTCTGTCTCTGAGTCATCCTCTCTCTCTCTCCCTCTCTCTGAGTCGTCCTCTGTCTCGGAGTCGTCCTCTCTCTCTCTCTGAGTCGCCCTCCCTCTCTCTTTGAGAGCGAGGAGTGGGCACCCTGCGGTGAAGGCAGCAGCTTCGTGAGTTGACATCATTAGGAAATTACGTTTGATCGCTTTCATGAGAGTTACCTTGACCGCTCTCCGTTACACGCAAATGGACAGAGCAGTTACATTAATCGGTCCGTGCTTTCCACGTTAGGAAAGCGATTATAGTAAACAGTAACTCGAACGGCTTGACATGTCATCATGTTCCTTACTGATAAATGACTTCTTATTATTTGTTTTACAATGTAAGTGCTCAACTCTTGTGTCCAATTGGTCGGCTGATGAGTGCTGCACATGCACAGGCAAAGCAAATACGCGAATCAACTCACTCATCATCTCACTCAGTCAGTCACCTACTCACTCAATCAGTCACCTACTCACTTGATCAGTCACCCACTCACCTACTCACTTGATCGGTTACCTGCTCACCTACTCACTCGATCAGTCATCAACTCACTTGATCAGTCACCTACTCACTCGATGGGTTACCCACTCACCGACTCACTTGATCAGTCACCAACTCACTGGATCAGTCACCCACTCACCTACTCACTCTATCAATCACCTACTCGATCGGTTACCCACTCACCTACCCACTCGATCAGTCACCTACTCACTCGATCGGTTACCCACTCACCTACTCCCTCAATCCGTACCCCTCTCTTGCAAATAGGAGTAATCGCCGGTCTCTCGAGCCCTCGCCTGGCTTAAACACAATTGGTGGTGGCAGTAGCTTGGTGAGGCCTTCATCCAGCAGTGTATTGACCATGGCTGACGTTACGATGGCAACGAACCGGTTGTAGGGGAGAAGGGAATGTGGATGCCCAAGGGCGCAGGAGGAAGAGGAGGCATGGACAGCTTCCTGGAGAGCGGAGATGAAGGGAGGCGTAGGAAATGAGTTGCCGTGGCAAGTGCGTGGCCTGCTGATGAGTTCTACAAAGTCTCTTGCAGCGGCGGGACTGGGAGAATAACTTCGGCAACGAGATGTGAACGTACCGCCAGACCCCCCACAGACCCCACAGCCCACACAGCCCACACAGACCCCACAGACCCAACAGACCCCACAGCCCCAACATCCCCAACAGACCCCACAGACCCAACAGACCCCACAGCCCCAACAGACCCCACAGACCCCACAGCCCACACAGACCCCACAGACCCCACAGCCCCAACAGACCCCACAGCCCCAACAGACCCCACAGACCTCACAGACCCCACAGACCCCACAGCCCTCACAGCCCACACAGACCCCAAAGCCCCCACAGACCCCACAGACCCCACAGCCCACACAGACCCCACAGACCACACAGACCACACAGACCCCATAGACCCCACAGCCCTCACAGCCCACACAGACCCCACAGCCCCCACAGACCCCACAGACCCCACAGACCCCACAGACCCCACAGCCCCAACAGACCCCACAGCCCTCACAGCCCCAACAGACCCCACAGCCCCAACAGACCCCACAGACCCCACAGCCACAACAGACCCCACAGCCCTCACAGCCCACACAGACCCCACAGCCCCAACAGACCCCACAGACCCCACAGCCCCAACAGACCCCACAGCCCCAACAGACCCCACAGACCCCACAGCCCCAACAGACCCCACAGCCCCAACAGACCCCACAGCCCCAACAGACCCCACAGACCCCACAGCCCTCACAGCCCACACAGACCCCACAGACCCCACAGACCCCACAGACCCCACAGCCCTCACAGCCCACACAGACCCCACAGCCCCAACAGACCCCACAGACCCCACAGCCCCAACAGACCCCACAGACCCCACAGACCCCACAGCCCTCACAGCCCACACAGACCCCAAAGCCCCCACAGACCCCACAGACCCCACAGACCCCACAGCCCACACAGACCCCACAGACCACACAGCCCTCACAGCCCACACAGACCCCAAAGCCCACACAGCCCACACAGACCCCACAGACCCCACAGCCCACACAGACCCCACAGACCACACAGACCACACAGCCCACACAGACCCCACAGACCCCACAGACCCCACAGACCCCACAGACCCCACAGACCCCATAGACCCCACA